TATATAAATAACATAAATGTGTTAGGCATTCTCTCCGTGTCTGTTCGGGATGACACTCTCACACACACAGACACACACACACACACATACACACACACACACACAGACAGATGTACGCATTTATGTTAACACAACAAAGTCAAACAAGCAAAAATAGATCCAATTTAAAAAAATAAACAAGTTTGATGATCACAAAAGCGTGAAACCCAGGGTCACAAACTCATATCCATACAACTGAACATGTTAACCTTATCACTGATATTGAGCACTTTCCACTAAGTATTGCACATACAAAATGATATATATATATATATATATATATATATATATATATAGTGAACATAGAAGTCAACACTTAGAGGCGACAGTCTGTTTCATGCTAGATGCAATCATCAGGCCACGAGTGCTCTGACGATTGCATCTAGCAGGAAACGGACTGTCGCCTCTAAGTGTTCACTTTTATATTTGCACACACCCTATCTCTGATATTGAGCACTTTATCCCATAAATATAGCACATCTTAAGCCTATATTTCTTCATATATATATATATATATATATATATATATATATATATATATATATATATATAGTTTCGGTCTGCCCAAACCACTGCCAATATCCTACCATCACTCAGAGAATCATTGAGGTTATTGACTTAAAACAGTCCTCGAGGACTATAGCACTAGATATTTCAAAGGGCTTCGACAAAGTGTGGCATAAAGGCTTACTACACAAGCTCTCCAGTTATAGAATCACTGGGTGGGTCTTCTCGATCATATAATCCTTCCTAACAGGTCAGTCCATGGAATTAGTTATTAATCGCCAATCTTCAGGAGCCCTAGAAGTCAACGCAGGCATCCCCAAATGGTCACTCCTCTTTTTGATCTTCATAAAAGATCTGCCTATATTCAGATCATTTGTAAACATTTATGCCGATGATACGACTATATACAGGTGAACCTCTAGAACTCTCGATGGCCAGAGATTGGCGATTGATTTCTGTTCTGATCTTGCACAAACTACCCAATGGGGTAAAAACTGTCTGGTTATATTCAATGCCTCGAAGACCATCACATTCAATCATCGTTGATCTGACTCTGAACTACCAGCAATCTGGATGAACTGAGGTCCTTTCGGGGAAGCACCATGTCTTGAAACACTGTTGGGCCTCAAACTGACGCCCGAGATGAAGCGGAACTAGTACATACGATCCGTTGCTAAGGATGCAGGTAAAATTATCGCCTCTTTGTACCGCTCCAGTAAGTACCTGACTCCTCTTTCTATCTTCTACCTTTACAAGAGCCAGATTAGGCCCAACATGGGGTACTGTTTTCATATTTGAGCAGGTGCTGCCCAGACCTCACTATCCAGGCTTGATAGAGTTCAAAAGCGTCTCCGAGACTTTGTGGGTGACGAATTATTCTCCACCCTCCAACCTCTATCACACAGGCGGGATGTGACAAGCCTCTCCTTTCTCTACAGCTAATTCCAAGGAAGGTGATCGGGGGAACGACATTCCCTGGTTTCACCGAGGCAAACCTTCACAGCAAGAACACGCCATGCCACTTACACTATAGCAAACCACCCCCATGCCCTATGTAATCGATCGGTGAGACGTAAAAATTCCACTTGAGCAGCTTCTTCCCCCGAAAAGCTGCCCTGTGGTACCGACTCCCAACAGGATGATTCCCCGATCATTAGAATCTTAACTTGTTCAAGGCTTGGGTCAACGGTTATTTTCCAGTCCTATACAGACAAATGGCCCAAATGTAACCCTCTACCTCGAGTGGTTCTAGCGACTTGCAAAGGTGAACCTCGCTGTATATATATATATATATATATATATATATATATATATATATATATATATATATATATATATATATATATATATATATATATATATATATATATATGGTTATAATCTCTCTTAAGGTTTCATCTCCTCCTCCTCATACTTACACTTTCTCTAAATTCTGTTTTGATTTCCGGAGTTGTTTTTTTCTGTTTTCATTTTGAATTTGTAGGTCTGATGATTTGGATCGTATTTACGATTCCAATGGAATAAATTATGACCATGGAATATTAGTGTTTAAGCCTTTTTATTATATCCTTACTCTGTCCTAGTCATTGAGTTCTACCTGGATTCTTCCTCTTGGAAAAATTTTTTTTCTGAAAATATACATGTATGGGTATATATATATATATATATTTTTAATATATATTTTGCATATGTATGTATATTTTCCACTAATATTATCTATATATATATATGTATATATGTGTGTGTGTGCGTATGTATGTAATTTTCTAATCTGTCGTATTTTTATTATTCCAAGCATTACTTTTGGTTGATTTGAGTAGATACTATTTGAAACAGTATTTATTTCGTCTCCCGGCCTGGGTAATCGAAAAAAAAAAACTTCATTAAGCAAGTGTGAACCCCCACTGATAGGATTCGAACTTGCGTCCCCTTTTGCAGGATAAACCACTGTGTGCTTTTACCGCTCGGTCATGAAGACCTTCACAATAAAGCAACGTTTATTTTGACTTCCTAGCACACTCAGCCATCCAGATTTTTCTCGAATCGCACAATCGTTCAGTTTCGTTTTCGAAACGTAAACAAAGCAATTTCTAAAGAATTAATGGACTTAATTTTTTGCGTAATCCAGCATATTTTCTTGATCCAAACGTTTTTTTAGTGCATTCTCGTATTTCCTTGATGCTCCGTTTATTTTAAGCAGTATTTATTTTGTCTATCGGTCTGTTTACTCAAAAAAAAAACAAAAAAACTTTAATATGGCCTCCGGCAGAATTCGAACCTGCTTTGCTCTTTGCAAGAGGAAACAACATCTGCAGCGGCGTACTTTTACCACTCGGCTTCGGCATATTAATATGTGATATATTGTATGCTGAATCCCGGATAGTAGGGATCTATTCACATTAAATTCAAACAAAGGTAGGAACAATTGAATCGACTGCACTTGTAGATTGAATAAAGGGTTTAGTTAGAAATTCCCTGAAGTATACTCCGATCGACAGAAACATGAAGAAAACCGGAGAGCATAACGGTCGAAATAAATAAGAGCACATTTCTCCGATTGCATGTACAGTGTAACCCGGATGTAAGAGACCCGGATATAAGAGAAACCCGGATATAAGAGAGATTTTCTCTGGTCCCAAATTAGAGCCTGTGTTAATGTATATAAAATAGACCAAACCCGGATATAAAAGAAACCCGGATATAAGAGACTTCTCCGGTCCCGACAACCCTCTTATATCCGGGTTACACTGTAATGTAAATAATAATAATAATAATAATAATAATAATAATAACTCCCTATCCCAGAGATTTTATTCATTTGTTGTCTTATAAAATACCGTAAAAATACTTAGTGTTATAAAAACTTGTCCCAACTATTGGTTCCGAGAAACATTTTCAAGGATTATTCTCTGGTGTAATCAATTTTGTGTCAATGTTGTTGTCGGTGGTATAAAAGTTGCTGAAATTAAAGATGATCTTATTTTTAAAACAGAGCCTGTACATTATGGCTGTGTCTGCCTCTATTTCTGAGATAAGTTATTATGTACACTATTTACATCATTCGGACTATCGTCCTCATCTTTGTCGCTATATTTATTACAACGTTTCGGCTGTTGTACGCTCCGGCCTTTTTCAGGTGGTTGGAATGTCGAACTGAACCCTTTATTTCGCTCGCTGGGGTCGACTGTTCTAGTTCCACGTGCCATGTCTAATGGATGCCAGTTATCAGTTATCTCCTTTTAATTCCCCTCTCCATGTTTCGGCCGTTGTACGCTCCGGCCTTCTTCAGGTGTTTGGAATGTCGAACGGAACCCTTTATCTCGCTCATTGGTTT